CTGCCTTGGTGGCTTCTTCTCCAGGCGTCTCCTTCTCCTTGCGCCCCCTCTCTCGCCCCGCCCCGCCCCGCCTGCCTTGGTGGCTTCTTCTCCAGGACGCCCGTGCGTGCGCCCCTGAGCGCCTGTGCGCAGGCCTCCTCGGGAGGCAGCAGGGCCCGGCCGGCGGGCGGGCGCCCCACGGAGCACCACCAAGCTGGGGAAAGGCTTGGCTCAGTGTGTGCAGTCTGTGGTGTTGTCCTATGAATACGTTTGTGTTATGGCTGCAGCCTGGTCAGGCAGGTCACCAAGGAAAATGGACCGGGGGTCGGTCAGTGTGGAAAGGAGGGGGGGCACCGAGAGGGGTCAGTGCTCAGGGCGCCCTCCGGCCCTGGGAGGAAGTCCGAAGAACACCGTTTGAGTCCAGCGGCTGCCTACTCCACTCCGGGGTGGCCTCCCGGACCCTGGTGCCAACGGTTAAGTATGCAACTCAACAAGGAAGGAAGTAACAAAGTGAATCAGCTGTATCGAGAAGGAGAACTTCCAAAGATCACACAGCATCAGAGGACACGCCACAAACAAACAGTGGAGCAGGGCCCCTTTTAAACTCTCCCGGGCTGGGGTAGCCACGCCCACTCACAGTTAACATCCAATCATGTTACATAGATAACAACCAATCATTTGTCTTCCCTCCAGCACAGACTCTTACATTTCATTGGTTACAGATTATGCTTCAGCCAATGGTGTTGTTTCAGATTAGAATCCGGCTGAGGTCTCAAGCTTAACATAGGTTTAGACGGAGTGAATAGACAACACCAACCATGACGGACCCTGCTTAGCTGCCGAGATTTAAGGAGACTTCCCTGGCCTGGGTGTTCAGGCTGGGGCAAGTGGGCCTTACTGTAAGTCAGGGCTCCCCAGTGTGATGCCCTGACAACCCCCAGCACCTTTCCTGGTGCCTCCCAAGTGTTTATTAGAAAGTGGGAGGAGCCAAATGAAGCTTTAGCCCAACAGGGTTTCTGATTGGCCAAATGAGAAGGGAGCACTCACTGGAGGAGAAGACCCTGATGCTGGGAAAGATTGAAGGTCAAAGAAGACAGGGACGGCAGAGGATGAGATGGTTAGACAGTGTCATCGATGCAACGAACATGAAATTGAGCCAACTTCAGAGGACAGGAAGACAGGAGGGCCTGGCGGGAGCTGGTCTATGGGGTCGCAAAGAGTCGGACTCAACTGTGCGACTGAACAACAAAACTAAATCTAGGATAGATCAGAGAAGTCTGAGCAGACCGGTGACTATAGGAGGATTAGGTATACCCTCATTATATCATTATTATCAAGCAACAGCTTTAACAACAGTGGTTCAAATATTACAAAATACATTGGGTGCGAACTGGATGCAGATAGAGCAATCATACGTCAGCCCATTTACTTTACAAGAAATCATTTGGATGCCTGAGACACAAAGACCTAAATCCATAGAACAAAATACATTTCTGGCAGCAACGCTTAAAATATGGGACCAGGAAAAAAAGATCCTAGCTCCTAAGATTTCCCCTCTCACCACTTACACTCAATAATCCTGGTTCCCTTCAGGGATGGAAAGAGGTGCTTTTGCAGCTTGGACGTCAAATGGCTTTCAGCGAATACAAGATCTTTTTGAAAAGGGGGAAGTCCACTCAAAGAGATACTTTGAAGAAAAAATAAACTCTACGATATCATGGCTCAGATATTATCAATTAAAAAGTATGATACAAGGGTTAAAGGATACAGGGACTCTCACACGGCCCAAAACCAATTTTGAAAAAGTCATCAACAAGTCTTCAAACAGTTCAAAGGGACTTCTGTCAATAATGTACAAGATTTTATTTGATATTGAAAAAGAACAAAACATGTCTTACAAAACTTCATGGGAAAAGGATCTTCAAAGGGAACAATGGCTATCTATTTGGGGATCCAAAGCAAATAATTCAAGGATTTTTAATATTAGGTTGCAATTTTTTTAAATGTTCACAAGATGGTACCTTTCCCCAGTCCGACTAAAACATATGCACCTGAGCTATAATTCGATATGCTGGAAAGGATGTGGAGAATATAGTGATTTATATCACTGCTGGTGGTCCTGCTCCGAGATACAATCTTTCTGGGTACAGATACTGGAGGAAACCTACAAAATAACAGGCCAAAACATCCCGTTAGAGCTGGCTATTATATTATTAAACTCAACAATCACAAAAGATAATCAAGAAATATATATATCAGATCTCGCTTCTACATTATTGGCTACGGCAAGACTAACTATAGCGGCCTCATGGAAATCTCCCAAACCTCCTACCATTCAGAACTGGCGAAATAAATGTTGGGATCATTTTATAATGGACAAGATTGCAGATAAATATGAAGGGCAAACGAGGGATCTCATACCAAACTTGTGAGCAGGTGGTTCCCTTTGATCACATATTAAGTGGAAAATGATCTACTACCCTCAAATCGTAACTATCTGGAATGGATACATTTTTGATTCACAGTTGTTTAGGCTGAGCTCTTATCATCTAAGTTTTAGAAGTGAAAAGTAGAGTAGACTGAGTACAAGGCTAGTTGTGTGCAATATACAGATACTGAGTTGAAATTGATTGAAAACACAATGTAATATATCTTTCAGTATGCAGGTTTGTATTGCTTTAATTAAATAAAATTTTGAAAACCAACAAGAAAAAAGAAATCCCGGTGAGACAACCAGACCTCCGCCACGCACCAGGCCTCTGTTCCCTTGACTTCTGAGACATCAGACGAAGAAGAGACCCATCAGGTTCGCCTCCCAGCTCACCGCGACTCACGACCTTCTGCCGCCACCACTCGCCCAGTGGAGACCATCACACTGACTGCCTGCACCAGCTGTGGAGAAGCCCACAAATGTTGCTCCTGCTGTTTCCAAAACGTGACATGCAGAACCTGCGGCAAGACAGGCCACATTGCACGCGCCTCCCGCTCCAAGGGAGCCCAAAGACACACAGCCACACACCAGGAACCTACAGATCTGCACACCACCGCCATCTACCAACATCAGGTACTGAATTTGCCCCGGGACATCCCTGATAAAATTAAAGTGACTGTGCTAATAGAAGGGGTACCTTGCAGGATGGAACTGGACACGGGGTCATCCATCTCCATCATTTCGGAAGAGATTCTCTGGAGGCTCTGTCCACAGGGGGGTCCCCGTCTTAGACCCACTGGGTTCACCCTCCGGGACTTTCAAAAGAACGAGGTGGCCATTAAGGGGTGGGGCAAATGCCACGTGAAATACAGACAATTTGAGGGAATGTTGGACTTCTTGGTGGTGGAAGGACAGCTCACCAGCTTACTTGGACTGTCCCAACCCTAACCCAAACCGATTTATGCCCTTGGGGTTCAGAGTAACGGGGGTGCACCACGTGTGGCCCTCAGACTTCAGTAGTGTGTGTGATGAGTTCCCTGCCATCTTCAGCGGGACACTCAGTCAGTACACAGGTCCCCCAGTAACCCCAATTAAGCCTACTGAGGAAGTCCGCATCTGCATGGACTACAAATGTATGAGCAACAAGGCACAGAGTGACCACGCATAACTGGTGCCTGTGGTAAATTGGACTTGGCCCAAGCATACCAACAGCTCCCAGTGAAGGAGCCAATCACTGAGGCACAGACCATCGTCACGCACCGGGGTGCCTTCAGAGTCAAGCGGCTGCAGTTTGGGGTAAGCATGGCCCCGGGGATCTTCCAGAACTTAATGGACTCTCTCTTGAAAGGCATCCCTGGGGTCCAGCCCTTCTTCGGTGATGTACTAATTGCCATCTCCACAGAACAGGACTTCGCCACCCACCTAGGCACCCTGCTGCAGCGATTTGACTCTGCTGGGCTATAGGTGAAGCAGGGAATATGCCTCCTGGGAGTCCCTTGTGTAGAGTTCCTGGGGTTCTCCGTGGACATGGATGGCATCCACCTGGCTCCTGACAAGGTTCGCGCCATCACGAATGCACCCGCTCCCACATCCAAGGCTGAGTTGCAGGTTTCCTTGGGGCTTCTAAACTTTTACCACTCTTTCCTGCCCCATACAGCTGAACTCGCGGAGCCCCTCCACCGCTTGCTCGACAAGAAGGCCCCGTGGGCATGGGGCCGGGCGCAGGCCACCACTTTCCGGGCCATGAAGGAGCTACTTGCATTGAATGACGTCCTCGCCCATTTCAATGAGACGCTGCCGGTCATCTTGGCGTGTGATGGTTCTCCTTACCACGTTGGTGCAGTCCTGGGCCATCGGTTGTTGGATGGGAGGGAGGTGCCAGTGGCCTACCAATCCCGGACCCTGTCATGAGCCAAGTGGAACTACTCCCAGATCGACAAAGAGGCCCTTGCAATCGTGGTGGGAGTGTATGGTCGCCCGTTCACCATCGCGACCGATCACAAGCCCCTGCTCGCTCTCCTCGCCCCTGACTGCCAAACGCCACAGGTACTGTCGCCCAGGTTCCTGCACCGGTCCACTGTGTGACTGAACATAATCTGTGTGTATGCACAAAGGTATTCTGAAACAAGATGATAGTATAAAAAAGCATCCTGTTAAACAGAGCTACTGCATGAAATGTTGAAGAATTATTAGAGTTATATGTCAGCTCGCTCCCTGATATTTTGTGGTTGGCTCCGCCTCCCATGGCAGCCATTTTGTGGTTGCGCTCACCATCCTTTGACAAAACTCCAAAGGTGCCCACAGCCTCAAAAAAGACCCCTGCTGTAAGACATGTG